ATACCAACTCGTGACGAATTTTCAGTGATGTTTTTTCTCGAGACAAAACGAGATGAAAATACGCAAAGAGGTAAATCCGTTATGATGCGGGAGAGGGGAGGCTGCGGGGCGTGTCACGCGCGTCAAATTGAATGTGATTTTAACTGAGCTCCTTTAAAATCCCCTGAAGGAATATTATTACAGAGGAGAGGAACTGAGGAAATTTTGCTGCCTGCGGGTACTAACTTCTATAAAATACATTGATTTATTTCAAGAATATTTCAACGGTGGGTTTTTTATTGTTTTTGTAGATTACAATGTGTTATGGAAACTACTCTTTGCTACCAAAATGTTAGGGAATTTACTATGTATATATATAGAGAAAAGCGTCTGTCACGTACCTGTATGGTTCTGCGGATTTCTTGGGCTTCAGGGTCTCAAAGGTATCTTCGCTAGCTTTCCAGTTTCACAGTAGGTTTCACAGTTCTAATTTATTTTAATTCACAACAAATGCGCGCGCGCGTCAAGCCCGCTGTACGGTCCGTTTGTTACTAGGTAAGGGAGGGGAAGGGAACGCGCGGGAACAGAAACTAACGGACTAATATAATAATCTGTGCTTACGATGTTACAGGGTAGATTTTGAACACAATGGAAGTAACGATACGTTTACAAATCTTTGAATTTCTCGTATTATTTTATATCATAACACGCATGTATTGTACATACAAACCTTCCTCTTGAATCACTCTATCTATTACTGTAAACTGCATTATAATCAGTTGCGTAATTTAAAAGATACTATGTAAAGATAACGATTTCGTCTGCTATAATGGTATTCAATATTCAAATTCAAAAATCATTTATTCATGTAGGACATTTTAGCCGCTTATGAATGTCAGATTTTTATATTATAGTTTTATTCCTACTGTCCAGTTCTGTATATAAATCCAATTGAGAACAGACAAGAAACTCAATTGAATTACTTTTTTTTATTAGCCAGTTTATTTAGTTTGTATATTTATATAGGTGTCTATAACATTAAATGAAAAAGTTCCATTTCATGAACATTGGTGGTTTGTATTCACACACTTAAACTTAAAAATGTAAAGTAATAATAAAATTATGCACGCAAGTTTCGTAATTCAAGTAATCGTTTAGTAATGACTATTCAAAAGGCTTCAATGTAAGTTTATTTGAATAAATGATATTTGTAATTCGTCGTTTAGTGCCAGATATTTATTTTATTTATTTTTAAGATGAATCATATAGTGTTAGTAAAAAATTAAAAAAATCAGTCGTTCGTGGTGAATTCGCTTGTAATTTAACATAGTTTGGCATTACCAGTGATAATTAGAAATATTTATGTCTTCACTACTCATTTATTCATAATTTAATAGCGACGCTCTTGTCGGTGGAGCTCTTGCCACTTTCCACGATCTTCCATCACGCTCTTCAAACCTTGATACGTCAGGACTCCAATTCTGTATTTAATTTGCTTGATGTACTTGTGCCTTGGTCTTCCTCTCCCCCTCTTTCCTTCTATCTTTCTCTAAATAATTACTTTCATAAATTCATCGTGCCGTATCAAGTGTCCTAACATTTTACCTTGTCTATATTCTATAGCTTTCGGTATCTGCCTTTTTTCTTTCATCCTGTATGCTTCTTCATTTCTTGCATTACCTTTCCAGTCTTCTCTACTATACTGTCTATCATTACATAGTATATAACAAAGTCGCTGTCGCTGTCTGTCCCTATGTATGATTAAATCTTTAAAACTACGCAACGGATTTTGAAACGTTTTTTTAATAGATAGAGTGATTCAAGAGGACGATATATATGTATAACTACCTTTTGCCCGCAGCTTCGCTCGCTTTTATTTATCCCTTTAGGGGTGGAATTTATCAAAACCCTTTCTTAGGGGATGCCTAAGTCATAGTAGCTTTATGCATGCAAAGTCTCAGTCCGATCGGTTTAAAATTGACAAAGTTTCATACAAACTTTCAACCCCTATTTTATACCCTTGGGGGTAGAATTAATCTGAATCCTTTCTTAGTGGATGCCTACGTCATAAAATCTACCTGCATGCCAAATTTCAGACCGATCCGTACAGTGGTTTGGGCTGTGCGTTGATAGATCACTATGTCAGTCACCTTTGAGTATTTAGATATATGTACACCCGGGCGAAGCCAGGGCGAGTGCCTAGTATACAAATTAAAACCAAATGCTATGTTATAAACAATTTGATATGCTACAAGTATGATTAATATATTCTATATCTTTATTATCGTAATAATATTATAAACTCGAAAGTTTATACTGTTATTATTCGTATAGATGTTTGTTACTCTTTCACGCAAAAAGTACAGAACGAATTTTAGATGAAACTTTACAGCAGAGGTTCCCAAACTTCTTTATGTCAGAGTAACGAGATGACTGCGAACAGGGATGAAGAGAAGAGAAATATATATTATGTTGAACCCAAATGAAGGGATAAGAAAGAAGCAGATAATAATGAGAGTGTGTATAAGAGAGAGTCTAAAATCCATCTCTCACTCTAAACTCTAAACCAAAGGTTCCCAAACTTTTTTGTTTCGTAGACCCCATGCCATATTTTTTGGTTTTGTGTAGACCCCCCATTTCTTCCTGGTATTGATTTTTTGTAAAATTCTAACTGTAGTAAAGTTTAGTGTTAAAAGCATAAAAAATAAAAATAACAGCAAAAACTACAGAACGACTTTTAAATGAAACTTTACAGCAGAGGTTCTCAAACATTTTTGTATCGTAGACACCTTGCCATATTTTTCGGTTTTGTATAGACCCCCCATTCTTACCTGGTATTGATTTTTTGTTAACTTTAACTGTAGTAAATTTAGTGTTAAAAACATAAAAAATAAAAATAACAGCAAAAACTACAGAACGACTTTTAAATGAAATTTTACAGCAGAGGTTCTCAAACATTTTTGTATCGTAGACACCTTGCCATAGCACAGTTTTGTGTAACCCCCCATTCTTACCTGGTATTGATTTTTTGTTAATTTCTAAAAGTAAAGTTTAGTGTTAAAAACATAAAAAATAAAAATAACAGCAAAAACTACAGAACGACTTTTAAATGAAAAACAGCAGAGGTTCTCAAACATTTTTGTATCGTAGACATATATATTCGGTTTTGTTGACCCCCCAAATTATATATTTTTGTTAATTTCTAACTGTAGTAAAGTTTAGTGTTAAAAACATAAAGTAAAAGATGACCGCTGTCGTAGACCCCTTATAGTTTGTCATAGACCCCTGGAGGTCGATATAGACCACTTTGAGAATCACTGCTTTATAGTAATATAGTTTATGTATCAGAATAACACATAGGCTATATTTTAATAGATATTTAACGCGTGTAAAACCGCGAGCACAGTTAGTATTAAATAATTTATTGAAATTAGCCTGAAAAATAACTTTGCAAATACTACCTTAAATAAATAGAAGTTAGGTTCTATTTTCGTTTAGATAAAAACAACACTAAAACGCAGATATATATTCAGTGTTGAAACAAATTATATATTTTAATTAATTCGATGTTTTATTATGTAAATTAATTTACTTGAATTATTACAGTAGCAGTTCATTTAAATAAATTTAGTAAATATATTATTGTACATTGGAATATGGTTCTTAATATAATGTAAATAGAGTGTAAGCAACGCACTACTTATATATAACTAGCTTTTGCCTGCGGCTTCGCTCGCGTAGTAGTAAGTATTATTATTAATTAGGTGTAGTTTTTGCGGCTTTACTTTTAAAATTAGGGCCTACAAAATCTAAGAAGGTTTATACAAATTTTAATGCAAAGTCTCAGCCAGATCGGTTTAAAATTGACAAAGTTTCATACAAACTTTCATCCCCTATTTTAGCCCCTTGATAGTAGAATTAATCAAAATCCTTTCTTAGCGGATGCCTACGTTATAACATCTACCTGCATGCCAAATTTCAGCCCGATCCGTCCAGTGGTTTGGGCTGTGCGTTGATAGATCACTATATCAGTCACCTTTGAGTTATATATATTTAGATAGATTCACTGTTATAATAGAGTAAGCCGAATAGAGCGGAACGTAAAAATTAACGAGTAAAATGCGATCGAAAGTATTGCTATCGTGCTTGAGCGATGGGAGATGAGGTGTCTGAATAGAGACAGAAAGAATAGTGATATAGTGTTTTTTTTTCTACTACTCTAATGCCGTTGGCCGCAGCTGGCCTTTACAGCTTCACCGGATGATAGAGTGCGAGTGCAGATGGTATTCTAAACCCACGGAAGGACCTATGGAGCGGCTGAAGGCTAACTCTCGCCTGACGGATACGACTTTAGGCACAGCTAGGAGTTCAAACCTCGGCTCAGGTCGTTGAATAGAATAGAATAGAATAGAAAATCATTTATTCAAATAAACTTAATTTAAGCACTTTTGAATAGTCATAACAATTTGTTTTTTATCTACCACTCGTTCGGAAAGCTGTCTCATCACAAGAAGAACGAGCAAGAAACTTGTGTGTTGCTCTTTTAAATAATCCTTGTAAGTTTACATTTACAAGTCGAAACGTGTGAATACAAACTACCAACAAGCACTAATTTTTTGGGTCAAATATAATCATGCAATAAGATTAAATCAGTCGTAGTGATAAGAGCAGACCAGTCCCTACAAGCAGCACTCGTTCACGAGTATGACGGATGAGCCAGCCATCACTGCGCTCGACCATATTTTAGGGAGCCCATTGACCCGGCCCACCACGCCGCCACATGTCTGGACATTTTAGTGAGCATGACTACTCATTCCACACGACCACGTCACAGCTACAAAAATTACTATATGGTAAAAATTACTAAGTATATACTGTTGTAATTTCGATCCCCATTTGAATTGGACGGGGTATCGATCGGAGGGGGATATAGTGAATATCTTCATCGTAATTTCATAGCGCGGGCACACTCCCTTTAATGTCACAAAATAATTTATTTTATTAGTGGTAGAGCAACTCACCCATGGCATATAGGATGATGAGGGCTGTCACCACCCAGGAGCACATGTTGGCTGCACTTGGCGAACGGGTTACATCGCTAGGGGTACGCCCTCCCGTCACATCAGAAATTGCCTGAGAAAAAAAAAACACATATAATGCGATGCCATTCCTTATAGTGCAACTTATCTTATATCAAGATGAAAGACGAACAGAGGTTCGTGCACAGAGTACTTTTTTTATTGTTAATGTTAGAATATATTTATCTCTATATTTAATTTACTTTTGTGTTCTCTGTTATATATTATACCTTGACACGGTTTTTGTTAAGACAATACATCAAAATAATAATTAAGTATCTAATCATTTCATAATTATCAACAGTTAACTTAATTTATTTATATATTATAGGACACAGTTACAATACATCAAAATAATAATTGCATTTAATAATATCGAGTAAGAAAAATCCAATATTGTGTACTAAGCACTGCCGTGTCTAAACTGTGTCACCTCACCTTACATTTTCCTATTGTCATTTAGTATATAAGATCAATATTTTTACGTACATATTGTCAGTCTATTATCATCTGTAATATACATCGTCTCAACCAACAACATCGAATTATTTACCCGCAACATATATCTCCAATACACATCTGTAAGAAGCACTAATTATGATGGACGACTGAGGCTTTGAAGCTGGCTACCGCAAGGGAAACCCCAAGTAGCGCCCGTGACTTGTGACACGGGTGTAAGTTTAAAAGGCCCTTTTAGAATGCATTAACACTCACCTTCACTACTTGCAGCGTCCCCCCAGGCCCAACTAAGACCGGGATAAACCCATTGCTAATACAATTCACTTTAGTATCCAAAACACAACCGGCACGCTCTGCGCTCGTCGACTGAATGCCGCGGCTCACGCAACGATAGAGGATTATTCAACTACCGACCTCCGTATTTATAGACCAAAGTCAGTGTAGTAGGTTGGTCTATAAATACTAGATGGCGCTATTTACATATATTCGTAATAATCCTTACATTGGGTACTTCATTAGTACTAAAAACAAACTACCTTCTTTTAATATATTTTTAAAATATCGGATTTTTTTTACAATAATGATGTGAATTCTCACACATCGAAGTTAGGACTTAATACTTTCTAGCATGTTCTAGCAGTCGACCATAGGGCATAATAGTTGGCAGTGCAAATATAATTCAATGATAAACATGTTAGACTATAAGGTATAATATGGGCCATGTAACCTGAACTGAAATCTGTACATATAAATAAAATTGGTGTGTCTGTTTGTAATATTGAAATAACCGTTTTTTACTACATGCATATGAATATAAATACGGTATATACACCAAAATAACATTTTTTACAATTTTTGACTGTCTGTCTGTTTGCTCCGGCTAATCTCTGAAATGGCTAGACCGATTTTGATGGGACTTTTATTGACAAGTAGCTGATTTAATAAGGAGTAACTTAGACTAACTTTATTTTAGAAAAATTTTTTTTTTTAGAAAAATAAAGATAAACTCCACGCGGATGAAGTAGCGTGTACATTTAATAATTAAATAAAATAAATGAAGAAGTCATTTTACCACGTTTATAGAAGTCAATTTACCGTTCTCACCTACAAGTAAAGTACATAAAATTACATATTGTTATAATTCTGTAGCTACGATGTAAGTTGTTATACAAACCCCGCCATCAGACACTGTTGTCGTCATAAAACAATTAGAAAACACCCGATCCTCATATAAATCTTCGCGGTGATCATAAATCTTTGAGACGAGTTTTTAAAGTAGTGTCATGGTTTGATAAACGGTCGCCCGCACCATTGTATAATGTCTAACTCAGTGTATATGGTGCATGGTTTTAGTATATTTTTACGTTCATTTTATATCTTAACTTTATCAAGTTGGAGGAAACATCAACATCAACGCCTAATGCTTCATTGTTTACTCGCCACAGCTTCGCACGGGTGTACATGTATCTAAATATATATCTCATAAATAAGTCTTATAATGAAACTGAAGAATTCATTGCACCTGTATGTTAGTATTTAATTAACATTGTGTTTATAATTAAAAATTGTATATCTATATATATATTTATATATATATATATAACTCTCATATAGAAAAGGTGATTGACATAGTGATCTATCAACGCACAGTCATAACCCATAGTAGTATCTAAATTTTGACGGATCGAAGAGAGCAGATGAAATTTGGCATGCTATGACGTATGTTATGACGTAGGCATCCGCTAACGTGTTGATTAATTACACTAAGGTGCCAATTTTCAGCTCCAATTAATATAGTTGGTATGAGAGATATCTCTGGTAATATCAAATACCGAACAGTTTGTGATGAAATTGTCTTTGCATTTTCAATGTAAAAATAACTTTGTCAATCTCTAAACCCTGTGATACTTTAGGACCGCTGAGACCTATCCGTTTAGAAATAAGCATCTATAAAAGCTATCTAATAAAGCCAAAGTTTGACGTAAGGCATCCACCTACAGTGCGCTCATATGGGTTTTGACACGATCTATTCGGACAACAGGACGGCGTTCGTTGGCTCTATTCACCCGCTCTCACACATTTCATTTCAGTTGAATCATTCCAATATCATCTGGTCTCGGTTGTTTTAGGTGAGGGTGATTTTCTCAGAAGAAGTGATTAGCGGAAGACTCATTGTTTAGTCAACGTGTTTTGGTCTCGCTTTGTTAAGGGGTTTTTACCAACACTAATTCTGAGGAGATCCCCTGACCACAACTAGGACCAAACAGTGACCGTAGGAGGTAACACCTCTGGCCGTATGGAGTATACTGAAAATGCTGGTCAAGTTGCCAGTAGACTTTCAGTAAGATGTGACTATGTCACAGGAGGGTGGGATGTTGCTGGCAGCTTGTCTATCATTCTTTTTATAAACTTTATATTTTTATATCTATATTTTTATACGTCACTTTGACTATTCTAGTTTTGTTACTTCTTGCTGTGAGCCCTTTTGGGAAGAATACACATTTTTACTAATATTTATATATATAATTGACATAGTGATCTATCAACGCCAGTCATAACCATTGGAATCTGAAATTTGGCATGCTAGATCTATTACTAATTGATTAAACCGAGGGGATAAAATCAAAATTTGTTGAAACTTTGTCAAGTAAACTTAGAAGATGTATAAAGCATGACATAGGCACAGATAGGGTTTTGATAAATTCCACCCCTAAAGGGATAAATTAAGCAGCGACTATATATATAAATTTTATATCTATTAATGTAATGAGTTTTGTCATACATGCTTTATTTTATACTATGTAAGGATGTCATGCAAATGTGGAAGTTTGTTAAAATAGATCGAATTCCTTATTATATATGGTTGTTTCAATAATTTTATTACTTAGGAAATCTATCTCTGACTTCAAGGATGTCAGCGATATTCAACGGGATTGCAGGGCAGTAGCAGTGACGACGAATAGCGAACAGGTATGCCAGGTGCTCTATAGATGTGTTACGTGTTACGAGGAGGCAGCAGCAATGATACACGCAGAGTACTTATTTTTTTCATACCTTAGACTTCCATCGTTAAAAACATACTGGACTGTATCCCTGACTAGATCTTTTATGGGAATAGGTATAAAAATTTACAATAAGATACCAAAGGATATATTGGAATTACCCTTAAATAAATTCAAAACATCTGTTAAATGATATTTACTGAGCAAAGTCTTACTCACTAAACGATTACTTGAATGACGAGCGTGCATGGCAATAGTTTTCATGTTCGGGATTTTCATTTATTGTTAGACATAGACACCTATATAAATACCTATGCATTGTAAATAAACTGAATTAAAAAAAAAAGAAAATCAATTGAGTTTCTCGCCAGTTCTTCTCAATTGGATCTATATACCAACACGGACGGTAGGGAAAAAATATAATGTAAAAACTTGACGTTCATAAGCGGCTAAAATGTCCTACATGAATAAATGATTTTTGAATTTGAATTTGAATTTGACTGACCCAATATCATATGAATATGTTAATAACTGCTATGCAATGGTAATTATAATTAAATTTACAGTTTTGATTTTTATCTTTATTTCTATCTCAATTTTATGTTTATATTTCTCATTTATATATAATTTTAGTTTTGTCTCTGTCATTTATGTAAGTTCTTATTAACCTTTTTTTTTTATAACACAGGAGACAAACGAGCATGCGGCTCACCTGATAGTAATTACCGCCGCCCAAGAGCACACGCAACACCAGGGGAATTGCAAGTACTTTGTCGGCCTTTTAAAAAGGAATAAGCTCTTTTCTTGAAGGTTTCAATATCGTATTGGTTCGGAAATACCATTGCTGGAAGGTGATTCCACAATGTGGTTGTGCGTGGCAAAAAGTTTCTAGAAAACCGCATTGTGGAGGACCGCCATTCATCCAGATTATCAGGATGGTATTTCAGTTTCTGGCGGGTGGTACGGTGGTGAAACTCAGCAGCTGGTATTAATCTGAACAATTCCTCAGAACACTCCCCGTGATATATGCGGTAGAAATAGGTATATAACTATATATAGGTATTAACTCTAATAAAACTGAAATACTAACAGAATTAATAAAAGAGCTTTATAATAAATAAATAATAATTATTAATATGAAACTAGTTATTTCAAACAATTTGAACTTAGATGATATGCTGTAATACTACTGAAACTTTATTTATAAAACAAGTGACATATAATTAAAACTTGTTATCGCGCCTTTCAACTGAACGCCGTAGCTTGAAACTCTTCATCCTGACAGAGACGCGATGGTGTAATGAAGTAACTTTCATAATTACCAGGTTATATCGAATAATATTGTCAATCCTAACAATAAATAAAATTCCAAGGAAATAATTTATTTTCGGAATAGATGTAATAATGTAAATAATTTGCTAAATTAATAAAAATATTCCAAACTTTAAGAGCAGACCCTGAAGCTAATGTTTTTGCTACATCTCTGTTAAACAGTGCGAGTAACTCTACCAATGGTAACTTAAAGAAATTTGGGATAAAATTTGATTGTAGTTTTATAAAAGATATGACAAATAAACTGGTCACATAACTATTA